CACTGACATACATATATATGCATAAAGGCACATGGTGGAATCCTGTTATTATTATCATTACATGATTGGCTTCAATGGACTTGCTCTATGTTCGTGCCTAGATACAATTTTTAGTAACTAATCCATTCTCTCTTGTCCTTTCTGTCTCTTCCAGAGGAAATTACTGTGCACAATGTATTACTTATTGAGCTATCTTGCATTTTGTGACTTTATTGATACACAGTTAAAAAATACTTTGAGAAATTTGACAGGAAGATGGACTTCAAGTACAAAGTAGGACAACAATTAAAAGCAGAAGGCATTCAAAGAAACATTTACTGCAATTACAGTCTGTGACTCTACATTGTCAGCAAACATGAAATCAAGCTGTTATTGCAGGTAACTCCAGGAATTTCTTATTTTTATTCATTTCAACCCTAACTGAAATAATTGCATGAAATAGGTACCGAGGGCTTTGCAAAATAAAACGTGTATTCTGCATTTCAAACTCCTGGTGTGGGAATTCCTAATTTTAGATTTGTCTATGTGAGACCAGCAGGAGAGGCTCTGAGTTTTTGTAGTAATCTTTGTATTAGCCATGTACCAAGAGCAGTAAGTGACAGTAAACAATTAAAGGTCTGAGAAGTGATATGATGCTTGTAGCTGAACCAAGCTGGACATTCAGGTGGCTGTGTGTGTTATGTCACTTCAAAAGGGTAACTATAAACCACAGGAGCTCCAAATGCAGGAAAGATGTATTTGCCAGTGAAAGATGAAATATTATTCAAGAGAAGAACTGCACAATATTATGTGTTGGTTTGTATACTGCATTTCAGGGCACCTATGACAACTGAATTTGGGGGCTCAGTTTCTGATATGTCGCCTAACAAGCTGTTTTATGACCATTAGCAGGCTAAAATTTTCATTTTAAATGCCTAAAAAGGAGAGCTTAATAGTTCTATGATGCTGAGCTAAGTGTGTGTCTGTAGAATACAAGGGTAAGAGCTGGCAGCAAAAAGAAACAGCTTTGAGGAAAAATAGTTGATTGAGCCTACAGTTCTTAGTAAGTCTGGTTCTGAAATATTTTACATGCACCTGTCCATTTGATAATTTCTTCTATAAATGGGTTTCATACTTTAGGGATGATGAAGGCAGAATAGATCTTAATCCCCCTGGAAAGTGTAGGCTATTAGAAGTTAATTACAAGACCTCAGTTTTGTCGCAATACAAATGGGACTTTATAACCTTAATGACCACAGGTGTGAGTTCTTGTTCCATTTGTACCTCTGCAATTATTCCTAAATCTTATAGGATTACTATTCCAGTTGATCATGTGCTATTGGAACTTTTTTTCTTCCTCTTGACTGTGTCAGCAGTTAGCCTGAAGATGGAGAGGAGATTTTGACAAGAAAGTAATAATCTACTTTTTATCATGCCCACATTTAGACAATTTGTTATGGCAAGACCAGGCTACCCACTCCTGCAGGAATTATTTTATGATCTGCTATTCTGTTAGGGCAGACCTGCTTCCTACTCCATGTATTGCATGCTCTGTTGTCCATCTTGTGACCAAGGGCTTTTCATAGAAATGTCTGTTGATTTTGTGACATCCTGTTTCATTTTTCCCGCAGCAAAATGGTCTTTGGGCCTCCTGGGGAAAAAAATATTTCAGTAACACTGGTGGGGGTGAACAAGGTAGTGTACAAAAAAACAAAAAAGGTGCCTACACTTTAAATTTCTTGCAATTTCTGTGTAATTATATTAGCTATGTCACAACAACTATTGCTCCAGATATTCATACTATAGTGTCATCTTGTAATTAACCTGCTGTGCTTCTGGATCATTGCAGTCACAAAGTGCTGTGCCAGGTTTTGAACTGAAAGCTCAGCATCCTGGTCAGATTATGTTCTGCCACCATACTGTGTATTGTCTGAGCAGTCTGTGTGACTCTTTATACCTTTTGAGTAGTCTGTCCAGCTGTAAAAACCAATAGAATACTGTTAATTTAGTCAAACTAATTTCCAAGTAGTGATTTCCTTTCTATTCCCCCATCTCATTTCTCTAAAGTAATGCCAAACCACAGACAGTATAAAATGCTCTCAACATGTGTACAATGACCCTTGCAGGAAAAAAGAGTTGTAAACTGTGGCAAATCTACTTCAGACTATCAGGACCAGGGAGGTAAAGTCATGGGTCCTGGCAAACAGGGAAAAGCCAAAAACAGACAGGGAGCAAAACAGAGAGTGACTCTGTGGATTGTCACTTCTTGGTTTAAGCTTCCACAGGGGGTGAGAGAGAATGGCAAATGTGGAATAACGAGCTGCAGCCATGAATACATGCAGAGCTGGTCCTAGGCAAGCAACAGCTGGGCACGAGAGCTGTTCAGAGCAGAGGAGACCTGTTGCTTGCTAGAAGCCTGTCACCTTTACTGCTGTTGGTGGGGAGTCCATCATGCCAAGTCTGAAAAAACAGTGGTCAGACATCCTGTCCCTGGGGAGGTATCAAGGAAGCAAACCCACAGTTCAGGGACCTCCTGGGTCAGTAGTTATAGATGTATCTTCATGTTTTACAGCTCTCGTAGCTTGTCTTCCATGAGTTTACCCAGCTGCTTCTTGGGAGCATTTATATTCTTCATGATCAGTGATTCTTCTGGCATAATTTCACACACAAATGTGGTGACTGCACATGGTTGCATGGGATACACAGTCAACTGGCAAGGCAGCAAACAAATTAGACTCCTTACTACACTTGAGCAGCTTCCTAACTGAGGGGAAGGGAAGAAGATTCAGAGAGTATCCAAAAAAAGGAGACTACTAGCTATGCATGCAGGTTATTCTTTCTTAGAGGATATTAATTTGAGGATGTGCCCAAAAGTAGAAGATGCTTCTGTTCAAGCAAATATTGGTAAATTGGGTAAACATGTCCTGCTGCTATTTTCCCAGAAATGGGGGGAGCTGTTAGTAAGGTAGATGTAACTGAGAAAACTATATTTTTATTATCTATCTTTGTATTATCCATGAACAAGTCTTCCTCATCTGCACCAACAAAATTTCCATCAAAATTATCACTATTTGCAAAGTTGATGCAGACCTTGTAGATTCTCCCAAAGATCTGGTTATTGTGCCTTACTCTCATGCTTTAGTGTATGGGAAGGGAGGTCCTTTCCCATAGTGTGGTACAAGTTTAATCTCTGTGCCTGTCCTTAGAAAAGCAGTTTCCTGTTTGTGCCTTGCAGTGACCAGGCAGCCCTGCATACAGGCCTTTTCCCAGAGGGAAATGAAGTCCAGAAGGCAAAACTTCTAAATAACCAGGATAATCTCGCAGGTCTATGAACTCCTCCTCAGCTGAAACCACAAAGGTCACCAGCTGTCTGCATACCAGAATTTAAACAGAGACATTGCTGCTCACCAGAATAACCAGGAACAAGTAAATGACAGCCCAGTGGGTAGACAACATACTTGTGAAGGAACGTGTTGTTGATGATAAACCTATTCTCCACCTGCAAACCCACAAAAGCAGCATTACAACCAGGAGCTAAGACAGGTGTGATTCATATGGAAATGCAATTGTTTGTAGGCACAAGATGCCTTCCCACAAAGACATGCAGCCAATCTTGAGGTGAGAGAAATCCAAATACAAGTGGTTGTTCTAACTCATTTGCCTTGGGCTATATTACCTTCCTCTGGGGGAGAAGAGAATAGTAGCTAGGAAAACAACAAAAAATGCTGAATACTAAATGCAGAACCTTCATTCATTCCTCTGGGTTGGGCAATGATTTCTGCCTCTCTTCCTCAGATCCCTGTCACGTTGATAGCTCAGAATCTTGTCCTGGAGACAGACAACTGGGGGCAGAAGCGGACAGAGGCATTGCACACAGAGAGGGTGAGGCACTCAGACTTCGGTGCAGTTTACATTTTTCCAGTGCAAATTACTTTCCTCTCTTCAACACTCTGGTCCTTTACATCTTATCGGGCACAGACACTGCACAGCCATAACTGTGTTTTCTCGTGGCCTTAATTTAATTACATGGAGACGGGAGATAAATTATTTAAAAAATGCTCTTTAAGGTATTTGTTCTGCCATTTCCTTCAAACAAAAGCATCTCCTTTGAGTATGACTCCCTTGATTACTGAGGAATGCACTGCTCATGACAGCCCAGGCTGTGGGTGAAGATGTGTGTGCCTAGGCCCGTGTCAGCGTGGTAGGGTTGTGGCGTTCCCTCAGCCCAGATCCGGAAGAGCTGAGCATCTGAAATGCTGAAGTCCACACCTGCAACCTGGCTCGGGGCCAGGCAGCTCCAGCAGACCCGGCTCACCTTGTTGGACCTTTGGCACCAAGGCTGATGCTGTCACTCATGCACTGAGCTGCACCGGCTCTGTGCCTGTCAACCCGCGGCTGTCTGGGGTCTGCGTGCTTTTGGATCAGTCTGGTACCCGTTCCTGGAGCATGGATAACAACTGACAGCCCTGGGGCACCCACGGATTGCTGCTGTGGGAAGAAAGGGAGGACAGTGTCCAGCTTTCACATATCACTCTCTGGTTAGAGTGCTCAGAGGTGGGTACAGGAGAATGGGACAGAGTTGCCCCCAGTGACTCCCTCGAGCCCTACCCCCCATTTTCCAGTCCCGGCAGGTGGCCGAGTGACAGACGGACCCAGGCGGATCTCCTCTCACAGCCCCTCTCCCCACGCTGCGCCCCAACACCCAGTCATGAGCAGAGGCAATGCCACCCCGCACCGGGACCTCAGCGTCCCACGGCCACTTTGCCCAGTTCCACCCCAGGCGAGAAAAGCGGGCACTCGGGTGGCCCGGGCGGCACCGCGGGGCCGGCAGGCTTGGACGGAGGGGAAGGACGCCCCGGCCCGCTTGCGCGGCCTTCCCCCCGCCCGGCCCCTGCGGCCCGCCCGCGCCAAGTGCGCGGGCGGAGCGGGCGGCGGCCGGGGCGCATTCAGGTGCGCGCCGGCCCGCGGGGATGCTAGCGCTACAGGCTCCGGTCACGGTCGACACGCACCACCCCCCGGGGACAAGCCGAGGGACGGCTGCCGCAGCCCGGCGGAAGGTGCGCGGGGGCAGCGCGGGGGGGCGGCGGGAGGCGCCGCGGGAGGTGTGCGCGGAGGGAGCGGCGAGTTCGACACCCCTTTGTACTTACCTGCGGAGCGCCTTTCCTTTCTTTCTTTCCTTCTTCCTTTTTTTTTTCTTTTCCTTCTCCTCTCTTATTTTGCGCTGTGCGAGAGCATCTTTCTGTGCGTTCGATGTAGGTGCGGGGAAATGATGAGCTTCTGGGGTGTCCCGCAAGGCTTCTGTAGTGCTAGTCCCTGGCTGTTCGGGAAGGTGTACTTGTGTTGGAGACTTTCTGCCTGCATCTTTGAAATGCATCTGGATATCTGAAACTCGGAACTTGCCTGCCCAGGCTCTGCCTGTTGTGAGGAAGCTCGCCACAACGATTTAGATGGCAATAGTAATTTGATTGGATAATCGGTTTCTCAGATACAGAAATATGATTTATTGATGTATTTTTTTAATTTTCATAGATGCATTAAATAATAACGATGTATTAATCTGTTAGGAAGTGCTTCTAAAAAGTTGTTAAAACTCATGCAGGTATGACAGGAATGTCTCTACAGCCACCCAGCTTTAAATAGCCCTTTTCTTGCTGCTGTAACCACACTGCTATCATTGTGAGTGCTCACTCCACATGTGAAGAAATAAATCAAAATAAGTGATAATCTTGTCCTTACAAAGAAGTACACCCATGTGATCGTGAAGCTTCTTGATTTATGCAGTGATTGTTTTGATGCTTCAAAATTATGAGTTCCTAACTGAAACAATGAAGAACATTGTGGTGCTCTGTTTTACATGATAGCAAGAAGGTCAGGCTCTTCCACAGCAAAAGATTGCTGGTCTTCATAAAAATTGAAGTTGCTCATGTATGTGGAAAAATTAAGATGACTTTAGTCATAGTTATGTTTCCTGTGTGTCTTCCGTATTCTCATTGAGTTTTCCTATTTTACTATTTCTTAAAGAAGTTAAAGTAAGGGAACTTGTGTTTAGGTGATAATTTTCATATTTTCACCCTCTTGATAGATTTACTGGGCATGATGTAAGATGAACTGTATTTGATATATTCTCTTAAGGAAACTAGTAAAAATTTAATTTGCAAATACAGCCCACTGGGAAGCTGTTGTCCCTTTTTTTTAGTGAAATATGACTCCCTTACCATGAGTTGTAAGAAGAGGGGAGGAAGACAGTTAGAATAATTGCTGAATAAATGAAAGATGTGTGTCACATTCCTGTGTGTTTGTGGTCACAGGAAAAGTGCCCTTTAATTGTGTGTGGAATCTCATAGCAGAGCTTTCATAAATGGAGCAGGCTAATCAACAGATAAATGAGCAAAGAAAGTACTTCTTTGCTTTTTAGGACTGACTGAAATTAAACATCCACTGTTTTTCTGCTTTCACCTTCAAAAGTCTGAAGCTGACACTGGGCTTTAGGCAACGGGAGTGATTTTTGTGCATTGAGCTGGTAGGGTAGTGGATATTTACTTGACAAGGGTGTTTTCCCTGTGCAGTTTTATTATCAGACAATATCAACAATATTAAATTCTGGTGATGTTTAACTCTGAAGTTGGTTTGAAGCTGGATCAGTATTGAACCACATCTTTTCTGTGGGGCTCCTGTAAAAGTCTTATTCTAAGACTGGTTGGTAGTACAGCAGCCTGTATTTTTCTATTGCTGTACTAGTAATTTTGGTTATTCTGTAACAACATTGCTCATTATTTTAATGCTAGCTCTGTAATTATTTCAGTCCATAGTTAACTATGATTAATGCCTTTCTGGGTGCTTCGTTTTTTAGAAAGGGGGAAGAAGAGGCTGAAGAACATTACTCAAACAGAATCTGTCATCTGTATTTGTTTTAAGTTGCACCCTAGTGATTTGAGTAGGATGGTAAACATAAATGTGGATTGTGGATCTGGGCCATGAATTCTCAACATTTTAAACTAACCTAGATTGGGTTTTTTTCCTAACTGCCATACTGCAGTAGCTCTCATCCATGCTGTCCCAGTAGCCTCTTAGAAATCTGGTAAAAAAGCATGTCTTGACCTGTTAATTTTCACTGCACTCAGCAAACTTTTGCTGTCTGGTGTTGTGTTGGGCTGAACCTGTCAGTCTTTGTTTTTCTCTCTACTTATTTGTTTCACAAGTGATGCCAGATGAGCTTTGGAAACACCACTCATGGGTTGTTGGTGTCAAAAAGCCAAGAGCAAACATAAAATGTTGGTACCATTAAGCTTACTTATATTGGTGACTTACCCAAGCTGCAGATGCTGCAAATTAAACAAAAAAGTGAAAGATTATTAGAAATATACCTGGTTCTTCTTCTACCCGGTATTTCTTTTTGAAAGTTATGCTCACAAAGTGACAATGTCAGTGACATAAAGGGAGGGTGGAAGCCACGTCTGTCCCTGTTTTTTCTCACTTGTTCTTAGTAAGCAGTTGAAGGAAATTGAATCACAACTTTTTCCCCATTGGAGTAGTTCTCATTCTCCTCCCCATCCCTGCATTACCCAGTTGGCTTCTGGAAACTACTTCTTCATCCTCATGCACATTATCCTGCCATTGTTTGGCACTGAGTCGAGGCACTTCCTGTCACGCTCTCATTTCCATTTTAAGGCATCACTGCAGCAGTGTTTGCTGTTGGAGGAGGGCTCACTGTGATTTCCATGTGGGCCTCCTCATTCATTTGCTCCAGTAAACTTGCTGACAAATGGTACAGTGTGTTGATTCTTCAGAAAGCACTGCACAGCAAGAACAGTGTATGTACAGTATTTGTGACTGCTTCTGGGGGTTAGAGGAAAAAGTGGTTGTTTTTCCCTTCCAACATCTGTAGTGTTTCTGAATTTTAGCAGATTGGTCTGTGGTTCTGTTCTGAAATAGAATGCATCATCTGGGGCCTACGAGGAGCAGAAGTGGATGGCTGCTTTATATGTTTGCTGCTGTTTCCCCAGGGATGCTGAGGAAGTCCTATTGTTATAAACAATAGCAAAAGTACAGCCTGTGTAGGTTTGTCCCAGCAAGGAACTGGGTGGTAACTTGCCACTGCTGTACAAGCCTTACTGGGCATCACTTCAAGGCTGAAATCCTCAGCTGACTGCCAGCTGGGGTGGGGGAAATGATTTGGGGGTAATGGATAAGGCAGTGTGAAAAGGGCAAGAAAAAGCAGTTTAAATGATAACAACCCTTTTATTGTACAGTGGTTTTAGTCTCAACAAATTACTGTTGTAAATTTGTATTTCCAATCTATTTGTTATGATTTGACTGCCATTCTGTGATTTCCTTCATAGTAGCTCTGTGATGTGACAGTCAGTCATGACCGGTAGACAGGTACAGGGGTAATTACTTATTTACAATCACTGCACTCTGAATCTATGTTGCCTATAATTAGCCCTGTACTGATTAGTAGGCAAGCTATTTGCCAGCTTCAGAGAATCATACACAACTCAATTTCTCCTAACTCTGAATTGCCAGTCATTATCTATTTCTGTTTATCTGAGGGTTTTTTAATGTTTTATCCTAGCAATCCATTCATTTCTTTTTGTGCAGTTTTCCTTCATTTGAAGTCACTGTAAGGAAAAGTTGGCCTCTTCTGTCACTTCCTGCACAGCAGAGATTCAGTTCTGTTTCCTATTTATGACTCTGGTCTTTGTTTGCCTACATGGAGGAATGCCAGTCTCTGTTTCCCTTCACGTTGTAAACGGGGATGTTTTAAGAGGAAAGAGCCTTACTAAGCTAATGGGAAGAAAGGGCAGGGGAAATGGAAATTAAATAGGTGAGAAAAGGTGATGCCGATTACATTATGAATCCAAGAGTTTTGAAGATGAGGAGTTTATTATCAATATATCTTGATAACTGACTTTTAAGTGGGAAGCACCATCAGCTTCTGTAGTATATTGGGAGAGTCTGGTGTTCTTAGAACAAACAGAGCAGTCAATCTGTGTCAAAAGCCAGTGTGCCAAGATTGATAATTTTTAAATGCATTTCATTGTTTCAGAATTCTTTATCAAATAATGAATGCAGAACCTGCTCTTATGCTAAGTTTTGGGGGTGTTATGTGACTTTGTGGCTTCTTGTTCTAGATTTGCTAGCATATGCATGAATGATAAATTAACAATGCACAAAAAGTTGCCTTCACAGATGTGTCCAAAGAGTAGGTTATATTTCACCTTGATCTTCTTAGAGACTTTTTATTCCTTCTTCACACATCTCACATATTTTATAAGAACTTTATCTGCATGTCAGGACATTGTCATTCCTTAATGGCAGAAGGCCTTGCAGACCTGGAAGACCAAACTGAGAGGAAGGTGGAAGGCAATACATAACATATTTTAAATACAGTTGACAACATACCAGTAGTCGAAATGCTGTTGATTTGTCCTCTCAACAGATTTAAAGAAAGGAATTAAAAACAGTGAAGTTGCTGCAGATATTTGCAGATAGTTCTTCCAATTGCTTTTGCTTGGGAAGAAGAAAAAGTTAAAGCCCGTTTGAAAAGTTGAAGAAGGTCTGAACTTTATTGCCATTTTCAAGGCCAAAGGAAGTGCTGCAATGACCTGTGAGCTGTGAGCTTGGACAAGTGCAATGGGAAGGGGTATTTCAGAGAAAGACACACATTGAGCATGACTGAAGGTAGGAAGTCAGGAAAAACTGGAGAGCTCTAGACCCCCTGAGATGCTGGTCTGTAGAAGAGCAGTGGTGATGGCCCACGGTAATCATGAAAGGGATACTTCAGAGCTTCACAGGAAGAGCTTTAAGTGCTCTCTTTGTTGTCAACAGACAGCTGGGATTTCACAGGAAGGTATTGTGCAGCTTTGAATCTGGACTGCCAAAATTCTTATTTCAGCATTTGCTGTGCTCTCTTTAGGACTTACAGTTGTTTTCCATGAAAATGTCTCATGAACAGGACTGAGACTGAAAGTTTTAACAAAATTTCTTGTATGAAATGCGCTGATTTGAAAATATCCTTACACCAAAGATGTCTCAGTCCAAAGCAAGGCAAACTGCAGGTGGGATCAGAAAGATATCGTCCCTAGTGGCTTTTCTAAAATCAGTTGGGAAACAACACTGCTTAAATTTTTTCTGAAGTGTTTTGAAGCTTAGTTTTTATAAATAATTTGTATGTAACAGATTTCAATAATATTCCTATTCACATTCAGTGGAGTTGCAGCACTGAGGTATCCCTTGCCTCAAATATTTGGCCAGATACTGAACAGAAAAGAAGCATTCACTCTAAAATACACTCTGTTTCTAAATAATCTCTTTTGAAGATTAAAAGTTTGGCCAATCAGCAAACAAAACTCAGAAAGTAGAAAATTATGTTCATTGTTCTGTTCTCTCAGTTCTCAATGTCATTTATGAGTACATAAGAACAAGTTGTTGATTGAAATGGATTTTTGCTATTCAGGTATGTAATTATGGGGATGCCCTTGAATTATTTTTTGCCATCTAAAAACCCCTCTAACCTTTAAAAAATAATCTTTTGGCAGATATGTGGTAGAAGGTAGAAAATAGTAGATTCAAACTTGAACGTTAGTACAGTTCATTCTGTAAAGAGAATTATGAAAATAATTTTTTATAATGCCTAAATCTTGTTTTTCTTTCAGATGAACGTCTGTAGGTTACGCTTGACGGTGCCACCTGATGAAGTCTCACAGCCTGAGCAGGGAGTGAAGGAAAGTGAAAGAAAGAAAAGCGTAAGTTTTAAGAATCAAAGTTAAATTCTGTATAAACTAGGAGTAAATATAAGCCCTCCATAGCTGCTGATATTAGTTGCTGTGAGCTTTGAGCCTGAGCCTTGGAGTTAGGGATTGTAAAACTGCAAGAAGGACAGTGGTGGAGGAACAGCAGAGGGTGTGGAGGAAGAACAAAGGGTTTGGAGGTGATTTGTGACTGAGGTACCTTTAAAACTTGATTATTTGATATTTATATATCCAAGAGCAGGAAACTGTTATCAGGAGCTGGGTCTTGCATCAAACAGGATCTTGATCCTCTGCTGAAGGGGATTTCATGTTTCATGTAGGCTTAGCAGTGTGCAAGGTTTGGGCATTACTGTGTATGGGAGCTGCTGGGCCAGGGACCTGGATGTTTTGCTGTGTCAGCTAATTTTGGTAAAGGGTGATGTGCAAATAAGAAATACAAAATAAAGAATTTAAGATTGTTCTGAAGTGAAAGTGATTTGAAGGTCATGTGCTTAGAAGGGTTCAGAATGGCAAGTTTTTTGTAGAAATGAGTATGTGCACACAAAAAAATCTTAAATCTGCTTTGGTGCAGAACTTGTTCTTTAAGAGCTATTTCAGAGTAAGAGATGATGTTTAACTTGTCTTAAGGATAGTCTAAAAAGGGAAGCTGGACAGGCTCTACAACTTCACCACATTTATACTTTGATAAACCAAAATCAAAGGAGAAGTTGGTGAGGTTTGCCGGACCCAATGTCTGAATAGTAAAATGACAATAGGAAGCAAAACAACAATAGGACTTACTTGAAATAATTTCTTAGTGATACTTAGAGGCAAAAATAACTGTAAAATTACTCAGAAAGACAAACATTCCAAAGCAATAAAATAAATGCAAAGTAAAATGATCAAGATAAGGATTCCTTACCAGATATTTCTTGTGCTCGAATAGTGTATACACTCAGGTTTTCATGCAGTGCTCTGGCAGAGTAATTGATCCTTCAAGCTCTAGAAATGCTACTTACAGAATAGATTAAATGGGCCTTAATGCAAACTAACTTCGGGCCAGTATTAAATAGTAATAATTCATTTTTTACAGATGGGTTTAGTTGTGGCACTTAAGCAGCTTCTCTGTCAGTCTTTTGCCAGCTTGTATCTGATTGCAGCAACCCTCAGACTGGCCTAATCTTATGGGCTCATTGCCCTGAGAGGAGTTTGTTTTTGAGGAGGGCAGATATTGACTCATGGCTTACTCATTTTATGGAGCTGAGTAGTGTAATAATAAGAAAGAAGTCTGAATGATTAGGGCTTGGACAATTTGTAGTGACAATTTTCTTACGTGACCAATTTTTTTTCTCTGTGGGACCTTATATTTAATGAGAGCTGTTATTTCCCACATAATACAAGTAAAAGCAAGTGGGCTTTATATCAGAGAATGTTAAGGCAAGGATATGAAAGATAATAAATACATTATTTGGCTCAGGATACTGCTCAGTGATTTTTAAGAGATGGAAGCTTTTTAGCTGAGACCAAAAAAAACAGTGTGTTTTAAATGCTGTATGTTCTGAGCAGTTTTCTGAAGTTCAGTGCTTTGAGACAATTTAAAGATTTTTAGAAAGCATACATAAAGTCTTCACAGCTAGATGGGATTTAATCAGTCAAACTCATAGCAATTAAAATTCCCCAGAGCAATTGTGCCATCTATTTGTGTTTTATAGTTTCTGTGTAATTAACAAAATCACCCCACAGATTGCAGTGTATGGAAGCAGCTCCAGAAAAATCACTGATTGTGAACTGATCTTTCCTTATGTCTCTAAAGCCAGGCAGTAATATATTACATGCAGATTTTTATTGTCTATGTAACCTATTGCATTATCTATTTGAATTAGTTATACAATAACTTACAGTGCACACATGCCTCATGACCTAGTCATGCTGTGATGCTTTTACTCCAATTTAATTAAAAAAGTCTCCTAAAAGCAGTGATCAGATATCTCTGCTGATCACCAATGTTCAGCTGACTTCATGTTAATGAAATCACTTAAAGCACTTGGAGAAGAACAAATTTAACAAATTTAGGTAATCCACACACCGTCCTATGAGAATTGTGCCCCCTTTTTGGAAATAAGGATAATAGAAATTAGGGAACTGCTCCATTTTCTGCTTTGCACTTGACAATTTAAGGTAAAAAATCCAGCTTCAGTAAGAATAAAGCTTTAGCATCAGATTCCTTGTTGGAATCTAGAGTTCTGTGCTGTCTTTATATGCTGTGTGATTTACAGAAATGAACTGCAGGGGTAATCTGTGGGATTGTACAGTTTTTGCTAGAGTGCTCAAACGAGTCATGCAGTCAGAGCAGGGCAGGACACTTATTCTGTTTGGGCAGGACAAGTGCTGGGGAGAGACAGACTATTCCCTGTCTCTGCTGGTGAGGGGGGAGAGCAAAGGCCTCTTAGTGTCCGAGGGAATGCCAGGAAACTATAAATACACCGTGGCGTGACATTTGGTTGTAATCTCTCCTCTTTCAAATCTTTCATTAGAAGGAGGTGATTTTGAGCTGCCCTGGGGTGACACAGTGATGACTCACTGGCTGTTTGTTACTTTGCTCCATCTTTCTGGGCTCAGGACCACTAAGAGATGTTTCAGTTGCAGAATCAGCTCATGAGCTGCACAGCAGCTCTTGCTGGTGCTGATCCTTCCAGTGACTTGTTTTGCAGATCAGAAGTGATCCAGTGTCAGTTGGTAGCTGTTGGCTTGGCCTTTTTCACTGTAGTCCAAGCTTCATGGAAAATGTGTGCTGTACTTCATTCAATCTGTATCAGTGCAGTAAGTTTCTGGATTGACTTTTTTGTTGCTGTACATGCACGAAATAAAAATGATCTGGTGCAAGAGATAAAAGTGATGGATCTGGGTAGTTTTTTGCAACAAAATTGCTGTAGGCAATACTGTACTAGGGTGGCCTCTCCCTGTCTTCTGTGAAAGGCTGGCAGGTGGTGCAGTTAGAGACTGATCTCAGAAGCTGAGAGTGAGCTTGTGCTCCAGTGTGTCAGGTTGAATTTTTGAATTTATATTTAGGCTGTGATACGTTGAAAGAAGGATATGAGAACTTAACTGACAGGTAGAGGCTGGTTGGTTGGTTACAGGCTAAAAGCCTAGTGCTGGATATCTCTGAGTTGTCAGCACTTTAGGTAGAGAGGATCACAGACTATTCTGATTTTGTTCCATTACTTTTGTTCATGATAGACAATGGATGACAGCAGTGTGAGGCTGTTTACTTCACCATGAAGTACAAAGGCATATTGTGTTTGGCAGATTGTATGCAAAATCTGCATGTCCTGAAGCCTCTTGTCTTGCATAATAAAGGGCTACCAGACAATTGTATTGTCCCTGTTTGGGATTGGGCTTATTTTTATCCATCAGTCTCTTTCTTCACTGTCATGGCTAAATTTGGAAGTGTCATTGGAAGCTGCAGCTAAGCTTTTGAGGGCAGAATATGGAGATACATGTAGACAGACTTTTTTCATTTGGACACTTGGACAAGAGAATGAAAATGAGGTGATACACCAGAAATTTGTGTCACTTTACTGTCTTTGTGGCTTTTACCTGAGTCTGAGCGGCGTTTAGTCTTAAACTCTACTTGGTACTTTGGCTGTGTACATCCTCAAATGCTTGAATTTTCCCCAGCACAAAAAGTAGGCTGTGAAGAAGCCAGAAGAGGGATTTGCTCCTGTATGTCATGGTGAGAATCAAGCAGAAACTCGTGTCAGGCCTGGATCACGAATACGAGCGCAGTGAGCAGGGGCTGTTGTGCACATTGAATCTAGGACAGTGCCTGTTTTCTCTGCTGCCAGCCCACTCCTATCTGCAGAGCAGAACTTGTGCCCTAGCAAATGTGGCTCATGTGCTACAGGTGGCTGATGTTACTGTTCCTCAGTCTCTCCAGCACTGATTGCCTGATTTTTGATGTGTACTAATTAAGCGACACCTTCCTTAAAACCAGCCCTACATGAAAAGCACAGAAAGAATTCCCTTGACTTCTGAGGTTACTGCTGCATTTGTTGTATCTTATTTTCCTAATGCATAAACATCATTGGTGTTCTGTGTACAGATTACATGGATGAGATATGACTCTTTTTAATGCCTCTCACTTCTGTGTTTTGAGATGGATACCTAAATTCTACACCCAAGGAGCTTAAAAGTTGGAATGTGTTAAGCAATGCTTCTTGTTTAGCATCATGAATTTAAGAACAGTCATGTCTTATGTCATGGCATATTTTCCCCATTTTAATACTATTTTTATATAAAACATCCATAAATCTAACAAGATTTTAATGGGCTGTAGAGGAATATGAAAAAACACAACAGAGCTACCTTTTGTCAGAGCACAGTAACTGTTCTTGGTGACCTCAATGTTATAAATGTGTCATTTTACTGAACAGAAAATATGTAACATAAGTAACAACCTGAATATTCTTGTTCCTTGTATAACTACTGAACAAGTAAAAGATAACTGGATATTTCAGAAACGTCTGGAATGTGGCTGTTAAGGAAAAGATAAAACCTCACTTAACTGATACAGTTCTTGTTCAAAGTTTTTAGATGTGTAGGTAAACAGAAGATCATGAGTCAGGAAAATTTGAAGGCCATATGAATGCTAAACCCAGAATTGTGTTAAGCATTACATTAGACGTCCTTTTTTCCTCAAAATATCTTCTGTGCTTTTGCTTTCAATTTTGGGGCATGGAGAAGTATGGGGCTGTCTGACTTTAATTAAAAAGACTGATGGAGACAGATTGGGAAGGACATCATTCCTCAATGTTATTTGTGATGCAAATAAAACCACAGGCCATAGAAAAAGCAGCTAACAACTCATATTTAGGGTTTGGTTTTATAATGTCTTTGCTTCACCTGTTTCATGCTAACATGTGCTACGTCCTAGGACAGACACATAAACAGGATGCATGGCAATTATCAAGGCTTTTGCAACCTTGGGGTGTAGGCTTCTGTATTAAATATTTATTAGTTAAGTAAACAATGGCTACATTTCTTGAGCACAGTCTGTGTGACCATACCAAGTACAACATGTCTGTTGCTGCAACACAGACAAAGCGTGTTCCTGGAAGCTGATACAGGATGCATGTGCATCTTGCTGTTACCTTGGGCTGTCACAGAACTGACTGCAGGCACAAAGAAATATTCACAAATTGCTTAAGCTTAATCTGCTTTTTCAGATCAGCAGCTCACATCAGAAGGGATTCGACTGATATTTTGACCTTAAACAAGGGATGGTTGACTAATCTAATGAAACCTTCTTCAAGCACTTTTCTGCTTAACTTTACAGTATTTACTTGCATATATTTACTTATGCTGTTATCCTCACTGAGGTGTCTCACTGTAGTGGAGGCCATTGAGGACCCTCTTGGAAAAATATGTGGGTATGTGTGGGACATAGAGGAAAACAATGAAAAGTGTTTGACTGTAAAAAACTGTTCTGTATTCCTTGGGGATGTGGAAAATCCAGGATTTATGAAAGAGGAAACATGGGAGAGAGAGGATGTGATAGAGGAAAAACAGAGGACAAGGCAGAAAAGGAGAAAACAGTGAAGGGAGAAAAATAGACAAAGGTGGGTGGAAGTGGCTTAAGAGAGGAGGCAAACTGGCAGAAAGTGTACTCAATACATACTTAGTGACACAGATCTGTGGAGAAATTTGAGAACTGAGCTATTCAGCAAGGCCTCCTTTAGAGGCAAAGGTGTATTAAGAAAGTCAACAAGCCTAGGAATCCATCCAACTCTCAACCCTGCATTGAGCAGAGCTTTCTGATTGTAACCTGTCCTCTAAGAGGGGGCTGCAGCAGGTCAGCCCTTCTTTGTCTGTTTGTACAGAACCCTGAAACAAGTGGTCACTGAGTGGAAATTAAGAGTTACCAAACAGAGAAAAGGGGGAGTAGAAAATAAACAAAGCTGGAATAGAACAGCAATGAAAATGGCTAAAGAAATATGAGAGAAGTTATTTGTGTAGTTGTTGGTTCACACAGCTTTAAATCAAGCAAGAACTGTACTGAAATTTTAACAAGTGCTTGTCTGAGGATTGTGATACGAAGGAGGAATAAGGAGAGGGTAAAAACAATATCCTGTGTTTTGGGAGAACTGTAACAGTCAACAGATGATGGAGATTATTTTAATCTTCTGAAAGAGAAGTAACAAAAGCACCTTAGGAGGCTTGTGCCCAATACAGATTATGGGCAAGTTTAGCATTGTTACAAGAGCCATGTAAGCAGTTTGCCTTTGTGCATTCTTAATCCTGCATGTGCTGCCCAATATGATGTAAATTTAAGTCTGTTCATCTGTGAAATACATAGTAAGTGCCATGAGTGATTCCTTAGGAATGTGTCCGTAATATTCTAAAAATAAGGAATTTGGTAATAGTTTTTCATACAGAATTCTGCAAACAGCACTTTAGACAATTCTGCTAGTGTTTCAGAGGCACAAAGGGTCTTGGTATTGCTGGTATTCAGCTGTTCACCTCATTAAAAATGAATGATCATAGGCAAAGGGTATGGATTTATGAATTTAGTGTCTGGTGCCTTGGTAACCTCTAAACAATCAGAGTGATTATTCATTCTGTTATCAGGAAGATGGAAACTTGTGTGTAATCCCATTATCCAGATGCAGGGGAGGAGCTGCAATGAAGATATGAAAGAAACCGTACAACCCTGGAAGCAAACAAACACAGAAAAGTTTTGAGGCATGTCCCATCTAGTTCCTGTATTTCTCTATTCTCAAAATATCAGGTGTGGAGGTTTTGTTTGTGCACATCCAGAGAACAAAACAAGAAAAACCCCCAATAATACACAGTTATGAAATGGCTGATTATGAAGCTATGGAGCTTTGCATGCAAAGTTATATCATGTATAGGTATGGCTGGCTGCCCAATGTTTTATCATTAAGTGGTTTTAAGGCTTTTTTTTAAATGATGGCTTACAGTTTTGTTGCTTTTCGCCTGAAATGTTGTTTATTAGGTGTCTGCTCTGTGATTGTTCCCCTCCCAGCCCTGCACCCCCCCCCCCCCCAAGCTTCAGCAACATGATTAAGCTATTAATTATATGATAAAGGAAAATGTGTAGGATTTACAATTTTGAAAATCTGCCAGTGCCATGCAGGAGGGACACAATATAAAACAAATGTCTGTCTTTACCCATTTTTCTTAATGCAAGTAAATTTTCATGTTCATTTTCCCCTTACCCAAAGAAGCATTTATTCTTATATTGCCACATATAGCTGTGTTTGGCTGCTAAAACTGAAAGTGCTGCTGCTTTAGACTGCAGTTGCTGTCCTCTCATCTGTCAGGGTAAGGGCTGGAGATGTTCTAGGATGCAGCTGCAGGTGGATATAAGACACTGAGCTTTCAGCCTCTGTTTGGTGTCAAAGACATCTCTATATTCTCTATCAATTATAAATTGGTCATCACTATAGTTGGCTGTCTCTCCTGGCCCTATGTTGCTGTTTTGTTTTTTTTTTATTCTAGTCTGATTTTAAAATTATCTCCCTTTTTTCTTTTTTTTTCCCCCACTTTCAGGAGCTCTACCATGTACCAAATGGGATGTCTCCAGGGAAGCTCTCTCATGGGATGGTCTATGGTGTTGTGCACCGAACTGACAACAACCATAAGAGAGAAATGGTGGTTTATGGCTGGTCAGCTGACCAGCTGAAAGAAGAGATGAATTACATTAAAGAAGTGAGTTACAGTTTCAGCTTCAACATTTGTCAAATATCCTTTCCATATATCCATGTAGAGCTGTGAGTGATGACTGCTGTCCAGCCCAACACCTGAATTTGAATTGGGAACCTCCTCAGAAGCTAAAGGCTTACCTTGTTAGCATTTGAGTTGAGAAAAAAATATGCTATATATATACTTGGGAACTGTGCAGTCCAGACTCGAGGCCTCCCTGCCAAGTGGTGCTTGAAAATTCTTGCTGACAGGAAAAACTGTGTAAGCAGACACCTGGAAGGACAAACTCTCTCTCCTCTCTTCCTTTGCTTCACCATCCCCAAGCCCCCCAGGTGTGAAAAGGCTTCTAAATTAGGTGATGTAGTAAAATCACTGGGGTATATTTTGGAGCAACCTTAAAATAGTCAGCCTAATAATGATGTCTTTGTACTACTTTCTCTGTGCATGCACATTTATTATAATTGGCAGAAGCTCTCCTGAAAGACAAAAAATGTATTTCTGATGCTGCTTGAAATTTTTCTGTGCCTGAAACTCAGCCCATCAGTCCTTGGCTCTCAGGCTTTGGCAGTAACACCCTGATTACCCCAGGGCAAATAATTTGACCTTCTTTTTCCATCCACTCTCACCACCCATGGAGCCATTGGTCAGTGGTTATCAGGTTACACTGATTCACAAGTCCAAATGCAGTTGATATAAAGGGAGGAACACTGAGACAAACCAGCAGTGTAAGAGACTGTAATTATGTATGGTCTTAACGTCTGCCTGGTCTCTGTAACTATCAGCACTTGCTTCTTTCCCTTATTACTCACAGTTTGTGAGCTCCCCTCCCAGTGTTCACCACTCTCCAGCTTAGGGCATGTCAGGGTATGTCACTACTGCAGTGCTGGCAAAGCACACAAACTGCCCTGGTGCTGTTTTCCTGCCTGAGTAGTTTCTCTGCCCTGTTGGGGTGGTGTCAAGGAACAGGTGAATTGTCATGCAGCAGGGCCAGCTCCCCAAACTCCACTATTCCTGGTACCTGGGCTAGATTGCTTAGACTGGGACCATCTCCCTGCCCTTTTCTGTTCCCAGCCGGCTCACGGCAGGGAGGGACACGACACACCAGGTGAACTGCATGTCTTGCTTGTGCATTCAGGTACTGATTCTTCCAGGAAAAAGTGGGAAAGACATAGGAAGACATACTGGCTCTTGCTCTCCCATCTTCTGGAAATTGAGTTCAGCTGTGCTGATTTGTGAACTTTGGCCTGCCAGATAAGTTTTGCCTTTAAAAGCGGAGTCTTAAAAATAAGAGTCCTGAGCTTATCTGCATATGTGCTGACTTAAACAGAACCAAACTGATGGGCCATGTCAGAGCTGCTGATGGTCTCCTCTGGATCTGAGCACATGGGTTTGGTGGCCAGTGCCCCTCTTTGTGGGAGGGAGTGGGTGTGCTCTCTGCAGGGCTCCTGGAAACATCCCCTCTCGTATAAAGCTCTACTCGAGTTTTCCCCACAGCCCAAGCCTGTGCAGGTAAGCTTAGGTAAACTCGGTGCCTTAGAGTATCTGCAGTCAGTCTCACCATTTGATAGGGGTGAAGGGGAAAAAGGAAAAAAAGAGTTTGAATTATGTAGCTGCAATGTAGACTGCAGGCAAACAAGATTGCAATGGCATGTAAACTGGAGCTGGAAGCCAGCTGGTTTTTTTATTTTTGTTTGGTTTTGTCTTTTTTTCCTTTTTTTTTTTTTTAAGACAAGGAATAATTTGCATCCACAGTTCTTAAAATCAAACTGAGTTCTCTGTTCTTCAGATTTGAAATTGCATTGGTAAATAAAAGTCTGAAATTAGAAGGGTTTATCTTCAAAAGATACTCGGAGAAGTAACCACTTTCAAAAGTATGAAGGTGTATTAAATCTATGTGTGGATGCTTTTTTTCGGAAATAAAACTATATATGCTCAAATTAGTTTTAATTCATTTAGTAAACAAATGTTTAAGTGTCTACAGAGAAGTTTAGAATTACTCATAGAGACAGGTATTTGTATCATCCCTACATAGGCAAGTCTTGAGACTTAAGTTTTTTTCTTGTTCTTAAGAGTAAATTGTTGTTATGCAGAAGTAGATTAATAATGGAAATTATGGAAAGTAACAATGAAGAACATAGAAAAAATTCATGTCCTAGTATAAACAGTATCATCTATAAGTTTCATAAAGCATTTGATTTTTCTGACAACAGGTGAGAGCAACTCTGGAAAAAGTAAGAAAAAAAATGTATGGTGAATATGATGAAATGAAACGAAAAATACAGCAGCTTACAAATGAACTGAAAGTAAGTATCCACTCACCTGTAGGGAAAGCATATGGGAATAACTGCCCTAGTGTTATCTAGAAACTTTTCTTTTGCTTTAGCAGAACAGAACTGATTTTCCAATTCACTCCAGTTCATTGGTTTATGTGACATCTGTAGTTTCCTTTCTTTCTTTATCTTTCCATCCAGGAAGGTAAAGCAGGACAGGGATACTTTTGCATATGGAATTACTAATTGCCTGGAAATTCTTGGAAGTAAAAGAATGGCCTTGATACCATTGTCTTTGTGTATTCATAATTAGTGGAGATGTATGTACCAGGAAGCTGCTGGGGAATTAACTAAATAATGTTAATAGTTAGGAGTAATGGGTGACTTGGTGTCATTTCAACACACTTTGCTCTGTTTTACTGTCTCTGTTTTTCAGACACTGTGGTAAAAGCAGTAGCAGTATTCTTTAATATAAAAGTGCTTGATAGTTCTAAAAAATTACTTACCTTTTTGTTCTTAATTGAACATTTCAGTGGTCATTTGATGACCTCTCTTTCTTCTGACACACTGCTTTAGCAATAAAAGCTGTTGCAGTCTGTACAAGTATCCTTCATTTTAAACTGCTGAGTTCCTTGGTCCAAAAAATCTCCCTGAAAACTTGCTTTGGATTTATATTCAACCTTGGTTTGGACAGCCCTCATTCAGATGAAGCTTTGGGAATTAAAGGTATTCTGATTTCAAGGGATTGGGACGCTGATTTGTGCCCTTCTACCATCCTGATTTGGAGGCTGTCAGATCCCTGCATGCTGTATTAGTGATAAAAATCAGACCTTGCTGTAAACAGATAGTTCTATTCTGTGGCAACTAGTCTCAAAAAAAAAAAACAAAACAAAACAATCCCCCCCCCCAAAAAAAAAATCACCCTGATTTGAGAGGAAGAGGGAAAGAAAACTCAATTTCTGTAAACTGTGTTAAATAGTTGTAATGCTGCTGACGAGACTCTCCCACCCAGTGTGCATGCAGGTAAATGCTGATTCAGGTGCAGTTTTGTTGTCTTTGCTGCTGATCTTTACTGAATAGCACTGGTGATATCTTGCACTTCCAGATCTTCTGTCAGACCAGTAGAAATCCTGCTTGAGTCAGAAATTCTTTCTTAATTAAGGGTTTCTGACCAGCTCTGACAGAATATCTAGTTCTGCAGCAAATTAGCAGTTTATGAGGCACTCGTGACATAAATGGCACATTATGAGACAACCCTCCCCTTTTTTAATACACTAAACTGCCTGAAAGGAACCACAAGTGTTGTTCTACCCGATAAAATAAACTTTTTGTTTGGTTGGTTATGGGTGTTTGATTTTGTTTTTTACCTGCCTGTCACCTTTTGCCTATTTGGGGACCCTGTCTAAAATCCTTTCTATACTCTTTGCTTCAGCTTTCAATCACTGTGCCTTTGTTCCTATCAATTTTCAGGAATACTTTTTTTTCATAAAGTTTGTTTGAAATTTGTACTTCCAATATCCTGCCCTAGGCTTCTTCACCACAAGGTCTTATCTTGTAACTTTCTTAATCCATCCAAAGCATTTCTGCTTTTGTTTGTTTGTCTTTACATGAGCACACATTTATATAAGGTTAACAGCAATTACTTGGCTTCTGCTCCCTATGCTGACCTAATCTATGTATGGCTTGGTTACTGAACACTCCTTGTCCTCCATATGAGTCCCTAGTGTTCTTATGTTTTTATCAAGAAACAAATCTGATCCAACTAAGAATGTGAGTTGGGTTGGCCTCCATTAAACACTCTTTCCCTCTTTATTATTGGATTGTTTGTGATTATTTACACTGTTTGGGTTTTGGTCTCTTCTTGAATGAAGTAATTTTGTGCCTTTTTTCCCCCTTCAGTTTTTAAGCATGTGTTTGTGTACATAACAGAAAATTACTAATTTTCACACAACAAAGCACTCTGACTTCTCCTCCTTGCTTCGTATTGTTTCATCCTTAAGTCTTCTTGATGTTGCTTCTTTATGTACCTGATTGGTCAGTTCCTTCTTAATTAAGGCTTTTCTACAGTTCACCCAAACCTTTCTAGATTTCCTTATTTCTTGCATTCTTCTGATTCTCACTCTGTGACTTTTTACAATCTACCTGCTCCATGTACACAATCCTTCTGAATAGAGAGCTGCCAAGTGTCCTCTTGTCCTTTCAGAAAGAACAGCTTCTGCAGTGACTGCAGACTGGCAGTAAACAGAGATACTTGTGCCTTATTTCTGTTAGCATTGTTTTGTTCTGTTAGCAAGTTTTGTTTGTTTGTTTATGAGGTGCAAGAATATCCTTGGAGGCCTGTACACTCTAAGCATCCTAGTACTGTGAAAATGAGCATCGGGGTCTTTCTCTTCTGTAGCTCCCTTTGAAAGAATAGGTAAACTTGATAATTATTCTGTATAAAACTTTTTTGGTTTTGTTTTGTTTTTTTATTTGTTTGTTTTTTCCTGCTCAGGTGACAAATGCTCATCAGGAATCCTTAGAGACTCATGTGCGAGTGCAGGCGGCAGCCTTAGATAGCTTTAGCGAAATGAACAGCTCCTTGACATCAGCATCAATAGACTTGCAGGTACATCTTACCAGCTGTGTCCCAGCTGACAACTGCCTTTGCTAACCTGGGGTTAAAAGCATACCTACAACATGGGTGGCAGGTATAGATTCTAACACTAAACCAGACCATAAAGTACTGTCTTTGGTATCTAAAGCAACTTCTTTAGGAAACTAAGAAAAAAAAGTTCCAACACCTGTGTTTAAAAAACCCATTAAGAAATAGTGTACAATAAAGAGATACTGATATGCAGCAGACTAATGCCACTAGTTGTGTCTCTACAAATTATCTGAGCTGAAAATGGGATCTGTTCTGTATAGTGCAAAATGATCCATCTCCTGACTTGTTCCTGCCTTCAGTTGTTAAGAGAAATGGGAGTGGCATGTTTGAATGCTAAACACTTGTGAGACTTTACATACCTGTAAAATGTAGGGGGAGGGACAAAGTGGGAATGAATTTTCTTTTTTAAAGACTTTCAAATTCCCATGTAACTGAGCTGAACAACCTAATGTTCCTACTTTCTTGATTGTCACAGTTTTTTTCAGTCTAGTGCCTTTTATATGTGTCACATGGCCCTTGGAGAGAAGAAGGGAAGATTATTCATACTGAAATGTATCCATGCTCCTTTCCTTTTTTTTTTTTTTAAATAATGTTCCAGGACTTGATGTCACTGAGCACATTTCTCATGGAAATACCTTCTAACAACAACAACAAAAGCCATAATTTTAAATGTTAAAAGTTGCAAAACTGTTCACACTGCATTAGTAGTACATCAGGAAGCTCTTTAAATATCCTGCCTGTTTCATAATCTCTTGACTGTGTTAGTTCATCGAATTATTTCTGATTTTTAATATGTGGTTTGCCTCTTTCTTCTAGAAAACTCTAGTGGATGTTACATTGGAGAACACTGACATAAGGGAACAAATAAGGAATTTAAAACATACACACGAGCAATCTATGGAAAAGCTGAGAGAGAAGCAAAAGCAACTGGAAACAGCACAAATTGAAAATCAGTTACTGAAGTTAAAGGTGTGGTATATAAACTCCCCTAAAAATATTTCACAGTAAGGGCATTAGGAATATGTTAAAATAATTCCTTAGCCTTATTTGTAAAGGGTTCTTCATTCTTCATGCCCTCATCATTCCCTAGAGCTCACATATTTCTGTGAATCGATACTGCTTTAATAACAAAGAATTCCAGCTGATGACAGTCACACTTTCCATAACAGGGATGTTGGCAGATGAAAATTCAAACCATTAAATGGTTATTAGCATCTTTTTCTATTGACTGAAGGAGTATTATAACTCTACACAGTGCTATATGAATTTCTTTGATGTTGAGTTTACTTGGCATTGCACCACAGGTAATTTGTTAAGTCTTATGAGCATGTGGTCAGCAGTACTGTAAGTATCTTGAAAAGAGAATTAAGCTATTTCTTTCAGAGAAATGCAAGGGAATAAAACACAAATTGTAAGGTTTTATATGCCAGAAAGCTTGACCGTGTTCTCCCCTTATCTGCCAAATGTATTCCTTTAATCTCAAAAAAATAAGCCCAGAAAAAAAACCCAAAAAAACCCCAACAAAACCCCCACACCTTCTTCTACAAACCTTTGTTGCTCTTAAAATTGCTCAAAATAGACTAATTTGGATATAGTACTGTATCAGAATTTTTAAATTTTGAAAAAATTGTGATTTTTTTTTGGACAAATTTGTGAAATTAAGGTGACTGCTGCTTTATTCATGTTTCATTTTGTCAGAGAAAATGCTTCTTTTGACTGTCTAGTGACTTGCATTCATGCTTAATGATGAATGGCTAAACAAGAAAACATTAACATAAGTGCATTTCAAATTGCAGTTCATGTTCTAGTTTCCTTTCATAGGTGAGCTTTACAAGCTGTAAAAGTCAGGCTATTTTGTACTTGCTGTTGTCAGCAGGAAATAAATAGAGGGAAAAAACCAAATAAAAGAAGCAAAGGTGATGCAATTAAGATTTTAAAACAGAAATTTGGACTTCGCTATAATCTTAAGGACATGCATCAACAAGTCAGGGAAAGGTATGTCTGGTTCTGAGGACTGAGAAACACAGCTCAAGTCTCAGCTCTACTGAATGTGTAAGGATTTGTTTATCTTCAAGCATGTCAAGGTCTGCAGAATACAATATACAAAAAGTCTAAATTTTGCCCTCAAACTTGCAGTTTTAGTACAAAATTAGTGAATAAAATACCTCATTACTGTCTTTGACAGTTAAATATAAAATCATGTATCAAAGGTGCCAAGACATCTGGGATTTAAATTCTAGGGGTGGATGTAAGAGGATGTGTGGAATCTGGGAGGTTAACAGTTGAAAAGCAGTAGCTACTGTACACCATGATTACATTCTGGATAGAAGAACACACCTATGAGGCTTATTAAGTAGGTTCAGTTTATTCATATAACCATAATAACTGAGATTGGAGATGTTGCTCATGAGTATTATAACAGATGCCCTGATACATCTGCCTTTTTATGCTTGTTTTTACTTTCCTCATTGCTCAAGCTATAGATAAGGAAAGATGGAGAAACAGGGACAGAGATCATATTCCAGTCCAATGTATCTTAAGGAACCTGGGTTTTAATTATTGGCTTTTTCTGAATGATATGATTCTTTCAGGCTTCCTGAAATGTGGAATATTAATATAACTCCACTCCCTCACATAAAGTTCCCCAGGCTTGGTCTAGGTGAGATGACAAAGGGGGCTATTGCAGTACCAGAGGAGTCCTTCAGAGCTCAGTCCCTTTTCAAAAGGATGAAATGCAGTGTTGTTTTTGCACAGGGTAGTACACAAGCTTGTTTCTGCCATGCAAGATCAACACAAGGGTTTAATAAATCTTTCAGTTCTTGAAATGAAAAAAAAAGGAACCAACCCAAAACCTTAATCATCAGAACTATGTATTTTGTAGCTCTGGAAAGTGTAGTGATCAGCAGGGAATACTTGATTCTCTTCCCAGATCACACTATATTCCTCCTCTTCCTGTCACTTTTGTAGCACCCACAAGATTTCACTGTAACATTGGCTGTTTCATAGCATCTCTAGGAAGAGGTCTAAGTTCTGGACTAGTTATTTTACTTTGCTTATGTTGTGGTTTATCCAGTAGATGGGCTTAAGCTGTGAGTATCCTGTCTGGTGTTTAATCACCGAGGGTGTGTTTCAGTCAGTGTTTTCAGCCAACAGAAGAAGGAAATCCTGTCTCAGAATTACCATTCTTACCCTCTTCCCTGTAGCTCTAGTAAAGTTTCTGGTTCTGTTGTTAAAATTAACCCTTCCACATCACTGAGAATATTAATTTTAATTTTAATTGTTCCCTGATCTGCTTTCCTCCATTGTCACCCCAGTTCTTGTGCCTATACAAAGAACAGAAAACCAAGAGAGAGCAGGGAGGGGGGGTACTGCAGTAAAGTAATTATTGCTTTGAGTGTTTTCAATGGGGAAGCAAACCAAGTGACTTGGAGGCTGTAAGGAAAGGGCTCAGCAAAGAGGCACTGCCTGACCTTGGATAAGCAATGAGCAAATGGGTTAAATTCAGACAAATTGAAACTTGATGAAATGGTAACTTCTAGAAGTTGCAATGATGTGTGTGCTGACAGAATGCTGTAAATGGTCTTCATGCAAGTGGAAATCTGCTTCAGCAATGTCAGATTTGTAACAAGGTGGAGCTGAAGCTCAAAGTGTTATTTTTACATCGTGTGAACTCTCTTTCTCCTGCTGCCAGCAATGCTGTACTGACTGATGGGTCAACTTTCCTCCCTCACAGGTGGAATCATCACAGGAAGCCAATGCTGAAGTCATGAGAGAGATGACAAGAAAACTGTACAGTCAGTATGAGGAAAAGATGCGAGAAGAGGAACAGAAACATAAAGCTGAGAAAGAAATCCTCCTGGTATGTATAGCAAGCCTGCAAGAGTGGTGCTCAGCTTGGTGGTGTTTCTCAATCACTCAGTACCCCAGAGCTGACATGTATTCCTTCACTTCTGTCTCTGTGACTAGTCATGCCATAGTTACTAACCTTTGCAAACTTCTGGGGTTGTAGGACTAAGAAAAGAATGTGTTCAAACATAGTAATGTTAATGATAATGTAGATTTCAAAATTTGAAATGAAGTTATTTGGGTTTTTAACTTTTGATTCTCTAAAAAACAGAAAAATATAATGCCCAATTTTAGTGACAGTTTAGGAAGGAGAGGGGGAACAACCTCACTGGATGCTACTGGAGCAAGAACTCTTCCTGTTCTTTGGTTTCGTTTAGGCCCAAGAAAAACCCTTCTATGAGCAGTTAGTCATTGCATTTTTTAACTGATAGAGATGGATGATGATGGAGATTGAAGATAGATGCCCCTGTCTCTTTCTATTCATATTGCTTTACATGTGAGGAAAGTACAAAACTAAACATGGCAAACTTCGGTGTTTTAAAAATTGTCTTCTGCAACAGCATATTTTTCTTAGCTGTTACTTCACAGCATCCTCAGAAGAGAAAACAAATATCTAAGAAATGGGTAAAAGTAAAAGCTATTAGCCTGACTCTGTAGCCTAAAAGAAAAGAAAAATAAAAATTCCTCATTAATATATTAGGTGCTAATGTGATTGTAAATGTTCTTATTTGAAGGAGGAAACAAATCGGCTTCTGAAGGCTATTGAAGAGGCCAATAAGAAGATGCAAATTACAGAAACCAGCATCCAGGAAAAAGACCAGAGAATTGGGGAGCTGGACAGGCTGATTGAACGCATGGAAGTGGTATGAGAGTCAGCTGATTGCAGCCTTTAAAGGAAATGCACCAGTGCATGGAGGAAATTTAACTTCTTGTTGTTTTTCTGCTACTCAGTGACACACCATTGCTGTTTGTATCTTAGTAATTGTATTCAGATCAGAAATGGACCTGGACTGCCACAGATACACTGTGATGAAGTGGTTGTTCTATCTTTCTAGTTCTCTTTACAGTCAGGGCTAAAGTGTCAACATTTCTTTAGGAAATGAACGTTGCTTTAAAGAAGGAATTTAATAAGACCGTTCAGCCTCCCTTTGGTGTGCAAAGTCTAAGCCTAATCAAGTAAAAATCATAAATGATCCAAAATCACTTACAAGTGTTGCTGTGGTAGGTCCGTGGAGTGCATGGAGCTCCACCTGGGGATGGATGAGGAGCTGACTGAGAGCTTATGGATCAGGATCAAAGGGAGAGCAGGGACAGGTGACATTGTAGTGGGGATCTGTTACAGACCACCCAGCCAGGGAGGCTGAAAAGATGAGGCTCTCTACAGACAGACAGACAGACAGACAGCTGAGGCTGTGTACAGCCAGATGGGAGTGTCTCTCACATTCACAAGCCCTGGTCCTCATGAGGATCTTCAGCCACCCTGACAGCTGCTGGAGGGACAGTGCAGCAGGGCATAAGCAACTGAAGTCCCTGGAATGTGTTGATAACTTCCTTTGGAATGTGTTGGTAACTTCCTTCTCCGAGTGATAGAGGAGCCAATGAGGAGAGGTGCTGTGCTGGACCTTGTTCTCTCCAACAAGGAGGGGCTGGTGGGGAATGTGCAGCTCAAGGGCAGCCTTGGCTGCAGTGACCATGAAATGGTCTTGGATGTACTTTGGTATTTCTCATTTCATTCAGTAGCAGTCATCTCGTTATCTTTTAAAGATTTGTGCCTCACTATCTGAAATGCAGGAGCAGAGAGAATTTTAGTCAGTGGAGTGAATACAATCTTCTGTTCTTACAAATGAAGTGGGCTTTTTCACCGTTTTTACTTCAGTATAGTACATGTTTAATCTCAGTATTTTACTGAGAGATAGGTTTTTATAAGCCAGTTGGCTTGACTGGTTAGTCTAATGTGCATTGAGCCCCCTTTGTCTAATACTTGCAAATCTGTAGGTAGAATTAGTGACTACAGTGAGAAATCGTTCAGTTTAATATCCCCCTTTAGTGGCTTCATTAACTTCATCTGGGCTTCAGCCTACAACTTGTATTACACAGTGAATAAAGGATTGCAATGTAGTTCATAAGTACCAATGAGTTTCTTCACATTAGTTATTTAATTTGCTCTTATCTGGCTGAGTACGACTGAATGCCTCTTAACTTCCCATTACAGTGGATAACAGATTTACTTCTCTGTTAACTTGTTTTGACTCAGTTCCCCAGTCCTCATAGATCTTCACAAGCACTGTGCTGCTGAGCACTTTAAAATAATCAGGAATGTTTTGGGGGAAGAAAATACAGTAACACCTTTTATCTCAGCCTTGGACTGAGAAATCTTTTTGGAGAGATAACATGGACAATTAGACATTTATGTAGTTAAAGATTTTGATGACTCATCTTTTTATTAAAAAAATTCAGTTTCAAGTACAGCCATACATCTTCAAATAGAAAATTGAAAACTCTGATCTTATTTCCATGCATAGCTGGGAATTTGATTTTATTATTATGCACTCTGTGCTCCTTGGCTGTAGGAAATGCATGAATTTTGGTTAATCAGTTTCTATTTTAATTTCACAAATGATGTTTTGAATTGCAATGAAATATGCTTTGTGAGGCCTTTACATTTTGACACATGGAGAACTGAAGGATAACATTTCTTGTTTAGGAGCGTCAGCAGCTGCAAAGACAGCTTGAATTGAATGAAATACAAATACATGGAGCGAAATCCGAAAACAACTCCGACAGTGAAAGGTGAGATATATCTTCTCTGTGGAACTTGTAATATTGCTAGGAAACTTCAGGGGATGGGTGGTTTTTGAAGACATCAGTTTTACTTTTTTTAACTTAAAAACTGGAGTCTTATAGGGATTGTCTACCTCAACAAAGGTTTATTTACATGTAAAATACCCAGATGAATAATTTTTGCAACAAAGCAACAAAACCTTCATGCATCTTTCCTGAAAAGTTTTTTGCAGATATGCAGAGTACACTGTAGATAGAACAGGCTGTGGTATATTTGTGGATTGCATTTTTCTTAAATCTGCATTCCCAAATTCAGCACAATATGATCCTGACTGTGAATACTTTCACGATCTCCTCCTGGACTGCTCAACAGGGTATTAAATGACAAGACATTCTGTATCCTGTATTAAGCTGTAGGACATCCCCTTTGTAAATATGAACTCTTGGGGAGAGCAGGAGTTTTGCATATAACTGCTAGAGGTGTCTCTTTTGTATAAAAGAGGTAGAGGGGGAAATAGATTTGAGGCTTGGAGGGGCAGGTCTGATGATTCTGCCCACAGGTGGCATGGACATCCATAACTGCTTCTTTGAGTCTGACAGAGCACCATGACCAGGCAAAAGAAAGCTTCAAGCAAAGTCAGAGGCCAAGTTCCAGAGAATTCTATCCAGCACTGAAATAGAGTAGCTGCAGTTGGAGTGAAAATTGTATCTGCCACTCAAAGGTTTATATGACACTGCTTGAGTGGGTAAAGATAAACCAGAGACTGAATAACTGTACTTGATTACTACTTATGGTTCTGTGGCACCCAGAAATTCAATTTCAAGGTTTTTGGCATCCTGCTGGTCTTTAGGAAGTATAAACATAAAAGGAGGTCCCTGCTGAGAGCCTCTCACTGCGTGCTTGTGTTGATCTGTGACCAGGTTCTCTGGTGTCAGGGCAAGAATGGCTTTTCACAGCAGCCTGTTAAAATAATAATTTAAAGTGAACAGATGTTCAACAACATAGAATATGGAGATGGAAGATAATTGCTTTCTTCCTTTACTTCTGAATAACACAGACTCTTCTCGCTTCAGTGAATCCTTTTCAGTGTGAAAAGTTACACTGCAGTGAAAGGGTAAAAAGGCAGTGTTGAGGCAGGAATTTGTGCAATGCAAGCAAGCTCACAGTTGCAATCTATGCTATGCAAGCAATGAATCTATGTTCAGGTGATGCTGAAGTCTCTTCTTAACTTCTCTTTACCTATCTGCACCTGAGCAGACACTTGATCTCCACCTGAGGATGGATGTCTGTTCCATTTCTCTATTGCTATCCATGCTTACAATTCTGAATCTTTCAATGAGAGACTAAATATGTGTTAAAATTCCAATCAAAAATACAAATTACAGTTTTGTGAGACCTTAATACTCACAACTGAAAAACCTGCAGCAATGTTTTGAATTTTTTGGGTCCTTGTCAAAGTGCTGCAGTTAAATTTCTGTAGAGTGCTTCACCGTTAATAGAGACTTTTGGGGGGGAACAGGATACAGTTCAGTCATTCACTGGAATCATGTCTTACAGTTTGCCATCTGCTGCTTTGTCTCAGAATGGTAGTTCTATTTGCAGCTTCAACAGTTTCTTCTGCTGTGCACAGACCAAGATGAAAAAAGCCTTTTTGGTTTTGATTCCCCTCCTCCACTTCTCAAATTCTGTCCAGCCCTGAACCTCAGAGTTCAGAAGTTTATTTTGTAAGCAAGTCATTGTGTTCTTTGAAGAATTTTAAGAACTGTACATTCAGATAAAAATGGAGTCTCCCATGGCCAGCGAGCCAAAAAATTTATTAAAAAGCTTCACTCCTGTTTCTTTGCATATTCTAAAACTACTTTTCTGACAAGCTGACAAACCAACGTGGGGCAGGAATTCTGTGGGTGTTCAGTTTCTCTGTTAAAGAGTGAAATGCAGGATCTATCTGAAGAGTCATGTGCAAACTTAAAAACAGTCACAATTCCTGCTGACTGTTGATGAGTTAATACCACTCCAGTTAACATTCTGCTGCTGTTGGCAGCTCTGCCAAATTCTTGACTCAAGGCTTTCCTGCAGTAAGACAGCTTTGAAAGCAGACCTGCTTCCTGGCTTTTATTCAGTATACATTTCCAAAACGTTTGTAGGTGGTAATAAGTCAGGCTAAATGTGTCTTTCTAATGATAAAGATCTAGTTGTCTAAAAGCCTTTCACTTAAAGGTAAAACACACCTTGAGATGAGTTTTGTCACCTTGTTTAACTGTCAGCACTTCAGGCTGAGTAAGAGTGCCAGTATGCAAGACAAAGGTGAGTAAACTTGGGTGGAGACAGGCACTGGGACTAAGATTACCATTAAAACGTACTTTGGACAAATTGACATCTGTTGGTGGAATTTGACTTGCTTATCCCGATTTATGGTGAATTATGGGGATTGTTCTTGTTTTGCTTATGCTGCACAGCTCCCCACTTAAATGCTTGACTCTTGCATGCTTTGCTAGGTCCCAGCACTTGGAGGAGGTCGCAGCCAGCCTGAGAGAGCGAATCAAACATCTGGATGACATGGTGCACTGCCAACAGAAGAAAGTCAAGCATATGGTCGAGGAGGTGAGATCTAGTAAAACAACTCTTGAGTATTTGGGGAGCACTGATTCTTCTAGTAAATGTTCCAAAGGGAACTCTGTCCTGTGTGCAGTTTCCTTATGGCACCTTAGTTACAATGGAAGATGAGTTAAGCATCTGGAGTGAAGCAGAAAGACAGGGTGAAAGCAGTTTAAACCAGTGGCTGAAGGTTGTGAACTGTGATCTTTAAGATGAAACTAATTCTAGGACTTTTTATGGTAGTTCAGGAAATGCAACATCCAACTTGCAACTCAGTTTGAACCATTCAGAGGGTACCTGCTGACTACTCATTAAAGGTCTCCTTCCTGTACAGAAATGAAAGGCAAAGCCTGACCTTTAATGTTTGTTCTTTTGGGTTTGGAGGGTTTTGTTTGGGGTTTTTTTTTATTTGTTTCTGTTTTCCCAATGTGTTTCCTCACAGAAATAGGCCTGCAAACACAGTTTTTCACCACTCGTCTTTTTTTACCCTGGTTTTGGGACACCATCTTAGCTGATATAATTTCCTGTAAAATTTTAAGTGGAATTTTGCTGGATAGCTGCTTCAAGTTACAGGCTACCTATATGTCAGGAAACTGTTTCACAGTCAGAAGGCTTTAATTGCAAACATTTCTGTTTCTCCAAATGGATGAAAGAATGACGTGGAAATAGGTAAATTAAGTTTAAATTGGAGCTTTACAAGGCAGGCTAAGAGTTCTATTACACAAGCCTTCCTATTCCACAGAGGATAGGCCTTCATTAAAAATCTTTTATTTGTATTTGGACATCTCACATTCATAAAATCATATGTTTGGAAACCACTCAAATCTAAGGCATTCTTTCTGCATTCACGAAGTGCTGGTACAGGATTTCTGATTAGACATGGTTGTTTCATTTTTGTCAAGTTGGTATTTATATATATATTTACTTATATCTGTTTTGTTCTGCAAGATTCTTATGTAGCCCTGCTGCATGATCAGATGTGTGATACTAAGTGTCTTTTACACAGAAGGATTAAAGTTCTTCTGTCATATCAGACATATCAAGTCTTGAGGTTTTGTTTTTAGCTCAGCTTGCCACTGTCACTATTTTCAAGCATCATAGCTGGTCTATAACTGAACTAACAATCTTTATACTATGGTGTTCTATTAAGGAAAACTTCTCCAATCTAATAATTCAATCCATCTAATGAATGGATTATAGGAACAATAATTTAATCTGTTTTGTATCTCTGTGCACCAACCATCATATTATGATTTTTTTCTGTTTGTTCTGAAGAAAAGTTCTAAAGGACTTGTCACTTTGTGATACATGTGGCAACCCAGATGATTCTAGTGATATAGGAGGATGGTGGCCTAAATTTTGCCCTTTATTACTAAATATATTTTTAAACTGCTGGATGTAACTTGACCCCTAGTGGGCTACATCGGTATAACAAATCCTTCCAGCTCTGTCGGATGTTTTGGCAAAAAATCGTGTATAAAGCTTGAGGCAATGATTATGATTCCACAAACATTAGGTTTAATGGGTCAGTTTAGCTTGCTGATTCCTTGTAATGTATCTCTGCTCGTGCCTTCATATACACAGAAAGCCCTTCTAGATTGCCTGGTTATCACTTAACAAGGACAGTGTTAGGTGACCAAGTCACTACTGACCTATCAAATATGTCTAATTTTAATTGATGTCTGCCTGCTTTTCAAAAGCAGTTAAGCCTCTGTGTAAATTCTTGGCTGCCATGTAGCCACAGGGAATATTTTTTTGCTATCTGCTTTAGTCCTTGTGTGTTTTTAGTTTTTCTTTTAATTCAGTTTCCTTGAGAACTGCATGAACATCTGTAGCTACATCTCTATTTTCACTAGTGAGCTGGCTAAAGGCTCCTGTACCAGAAGTTTGATCAGGTCAGATGGTACCAAATACATTAGGCATTTAATTAATTGGTGGTTTGGTTTTTTAATTTTTTTCTGTTTGTGGCTTGTGTTTGTGCTGTGTTTGAGGGAATATCCACAATACAGTTGGCATGCACTATTTTAAACTGAACTCCTAATTAGAGGCCCTAAAATTAGCAGCCTTAGTAGTGTAGAGAAGAGTAGCTGTCCATCGTGGGGAAAGAGAAAAAGCATTGCAGATGTGAGTGCCCTCAGCTATCCAAGCATGTGGTGTTTTTCATGATTTCGTCCTCTTTTCTATGTAATATTTGATAAGTGTTTAGGTGTATTTTAAGCAACACTTGCTAACTATGTCATAGAAGCTGAGAAATCTTCAACAAAAATACTGAAAAGGAATGCTATCTGAAGAGCCTGTTCTAAGTTAAAAACTAGTGAGTAGCAGCACTAAAAATACTTTCTAGAGTAAATAGGGAAGATTGCACTACTATTTAAGTCCCAGAAAACATGTACATGAGGCTATATTTAAGCATATACCCCCTCTACACTAAACTGATTGCAAAATGTAATGGGGAAGAATACCTAGAAAGCTGTCACAAAACCCTGTTGTGTTACTCATTATTGCAATACTTTCATGCTTTGTATCTGTAAAATAACATACCATCTTAGGATTTATGAGGGCATTATAATGATTGATAACTTGTGTTTAAATAATTGAGAAAGAATGATCAAAGCAGTGAGAAATCTTGCTCTCTGAAATGCTGAGCTGCTCTGTGGTATGAGAGTAGACCGAGAACAGGCTGACCTGGGAAACTCAGGAGAGAAGTGTAAAGAAAGGAAATAGGCGAAATTATTGGCAGTGCTTTTGTTAGAAGCTGAAACATGAACAAGCTACTGCATGAACTACTGGGTGAGAAAGATGGCCAAGCCTGTGCTTGCTTGACTACAGGATGAGCTTTGTTTAATATTTATCTTAGTATTGTTGGACACAAATCTGAAACATAAATAATGGGTTTATTCTTTCAGTGTAAATCAGGGGTTTGTGCTGTTACCATCTCCAGTTTAGACAAATTGGAGAGATGAACATCACTGCAAAGGGGTGCTAAACAAACAAGATATACTGCTTCAAACTGATATGGAGAACTGTCAGAATTGAACAAGTACTGAAATGAATCTCCTGGCTAAAAAAAATCACAACATAGATTGTTCTTTGGGCCTTTTAGGGAAAGATGATGGATCACTGGCAAGCGACAAAAACAGGGCATTCCTGAAAAGAGCTGCAAGCAGTCAGGAGGAAGTGAAAGAGAAGTTTTAGAGTGGAGTTTTGTGATGCACTAGGCTGTTCCAACACCTCCAGTGCTGTTTTGATGGCATTTAAAATGTGTTAGGAGATGGTGGTCAGTCCTAACTTAGGCGTGCAGGAAAGGGGATGCTGGCAGAGGAGCACCAAATGTAGGAGGCCATGGAGGGAAAGAGCATTTAACACCTTCCTCTTCATAGGTCCCATCTTGTTGGTACTGAATGCAGTGGCCACATGATCTAGGGAATTGAGCCCAGGCAGAGAAGGAAAATCACAACTCAATGTGCATATACTCCTTGGCAAAGACATCATTTGCTTCTAATTTTTTTTTCCTGAAAATAAATCCTTCCATCTCAGGCATTAATAGAACATTCTTCAACTTGATCTAGTCCAACCAGTCATAAATTAAATAGTAGCACAGGAAGGAACTTTCAGAAGAAAAATAAATGGAAGAAATAAAATGGAAGTTTGCTGGTGTTGGTACTTTCAGCATCTCTGTATGTTAGGATCTGATTCATATCCATTTTTCAGCCTTGTAGGGATTGTCTGCTGTGAGAGCCAAGACTGCAGCCCATTAAGTGCACCAACTGAGCAGAAAGTCATAGTCTGCATAGTCTTAAAGCCTCATGTTCTCATTAGAGAGGTATTGCAGATGATTTAAGGCTGACAGATTTATCCCTGTGATGAGCTTGTTTGTTAAATAAATCTGTTTGTTCACAGCTTAATGTAGTACATTTTAAATGAAGTGCTGGCAGTTGAAAGTGCAGGACCTGCATTTGGCAGGTGTTTAGAAACCCAGCCTTTTCCTCATACTGTTTGTACATTGCAGGCTTTAAAAGAAAGTGTGAGAAGAGACAGATGGCCACAGTGGGTCACCCAAAGCTCAGGGTTTTTTTAGCCCTTGCCTTTGTAGTTACCTTAAAGTGTGGCTGGGCAGAGAGAGATTTTCAAAGACAGTTTGAGATGGAGAATCTGCAGGGAGGCTCTTAGGTCAAACATGGAGGCACACAAACTTCAGGCCCTTCTGCTAAGAAGTTTCCACTGAAGAGACAGAATTGGGCAGGCAGGTGGAGGCACAGAGGTGCCATGGGAGGGCATGGAAAGCTGCTACCACATTGTTTCTTTCAGGGTTGAAATTGCCCTTGTTCTGTGAGAGGGGTGAAAGCTGTCTTTTAAGTATCTATTTGATACAGTCAACCACTTCATCCTGAGCCAGTGTAGGAAATGCGAGTTTAGTGTAAGATATATGAAATGCAGAACAGTGAGTTTAGATCAGCAGCAAAATTATTTTGTGGCTTGATCTCAGTTTCAAGCCTGGAGAGAATGAAGAGAACTTTAGTTTTGAGATGTGTGCAATTGCCATTGAAGTGGATTGCAGTTTCATTGCACAATAAGCTTATTTTATATGTAATAGAGTTTCATTGTTGAGAAGCAGAAGAGGGAAGGAAATAAGCATTAACATTTTGTAAGCAAGGTGAGTGGGTCAATGCACATATAGGAAGCTGTTCTGAAGGGGTCTGAAGAGAAAAGGATATTTGATTTCATGACAAGAAATTATCTACAGAACTCAGATTTCACATGAAATCCCCCTAACTACTGAATTAAACTGTCTCTAGGTCATGGCCCATGAGCTGTTCTCCAGCTTTAGTCTCAGATTCGTTGGATAATAAATGGTGACCAAACACCAGGGAGAAGCTGTCTCCTGTTCTGTTGGGGAAGATACTTGCATGAAAGGACAAAGTACTAATGAGCAAATGATGTCCCAAATACAGAAGATACTTTATATTGCACAAGTGGGGAATAAAGAAGAAATTTTTCCACCAAAG